GAGCCCACTGGCATATCGACGCAGGTTACGGGAGGATGTGTGCGCTCATGCAGAAGGACGGTTGATCGGGGAGCTCACGGCAGCTGGGCATGAGATCCCTTCTGGCAATGAGATAAGGAAACCGCCCGAGCCTGAGGTGATCGGTGATGAGGTGGAGGATAGGGAGTGGAGAGCGGAGATGGCAGAACGAATGCATAGGCTGGAGGTTCGCAATGAGGGTCAGGCAGTGGCTATTGCCAAGCTCGAGAGGCAATTGCGTGAGCTGATGCTTTCTCGTACTCCGCAGCATGGCGTAGACGGTGAGGCTGCAGGGGAGGGACATGGTGATGTGGCAGGGGCCGGTGGAACTGGTGAACCTGCACGTGTGGAAGTCATGGGTGGGGACAATGCTGGCACACATGACAGCAACCCAGGTGCACATGGTGAGGGTCCTGTGGCTGCCGTTGAGACTGGTGAAGGTGGGAAGGTGCGTGATGAAGGTGCTGGAGGCTTGTTGGGTACTACGGATGGTAATAGAGGTGCTAGAGAGGCCGTGGGTACTGGGCATGGTGTGACTGCCTCGAATGTGGATGTGGATTTGGTGTCCGCATACAGCACAGGGTCTGAGACGACGAGTCGCAACACTGCGCGTGGTCGAGCTCCCAGCTCAGGTTATACTGGTATAAGCAGACGGGAAGGTAAGTGGGCGGCACGACTGTGCCTAGATAACAACTGGTTGGCGCTGGGACGGTATACCGAGGTCTTGGATGCCGCAAAAGCATTTGCAGCAGCCGCCCACATCTGCCGACCGTCCATCTCCAGCTCGAAGATGGTGCAGTTGAGCGTGGAGGAGAGGAGGTGTTTGGAGGGTCTGACGTCGCAAGGGGTTGAGAGGATTGTGGATGCGAAGCGGTGGGCAGAGTGGAGGAACTGGCGTGAAGTGCTCAGCAGCCTCCCTGAGCCTTCCACCCCAGCGCCAGCAGGAGTTCACACACAGGCTCCACCTCTCTTATCCCACCAGCACCCAGGAGCCACGTTTGGCAACTACCACCCGCCAGCCGCCGCCTTCGCGGGACCCGCAGGTGCAACCCTAAACCCTGGTGGATGGCAGCCGTACACCCACAGACACCCTCCTCCCAACCTCCATTTTCCATCCCAGCAGTTTGCATTCAACCAAATCCCTATCCATCCATTCAGCCAGGTGCAAGCCCCTATCTCCGTACACCCAGCCCCTTCAGCACCCATTGCTCCCAACCCTGCAGGCCATTCCGCAGCACAAAACACGGCACCCCATCCGCATGTCCTACCCACACCACCAGCCGTTGCACCCAGCACGGCACATCCAGTAGCTGGCATGACAGATTCACAGCACAGCTTGAGCATGTCAACTTCACCCAACAATCCCAACCCCCCGTCTCACGGCTCCGCACTGGCAAGCGAGCCAGCAGCTGGTGAGATGTATGATTTTAACATCATTGCTTATCATTAGAACCATCAAATTGCTAACCTGACTTACTACTCATGTCACCGTTTGCTCAACGTGTGCAGGGGTGGCTGACGACATCATCGAAACCTTCCTTGGTCACAAAACACAATAAATGTTGAAACGGCTTGCATCGTAAACTCCAAATCAATGTTTAGGACTCAGCATACACATGCATAGAGCTTGACATGTTTAAGCCGTTGCCGTTTAAATGGTACATGGAATGTACTCGTGCATCCATCTGATCATGAGCGTTTTAATTAGAACCTAATTGGCCAGAGTTTATGTTTGTGCGAGTGTTTTTAGCATATGATTGGCGAGATCATAAAGTAAATTGAGTTTCATTGGCGCGGTCAAATATGGTCGCAATCCTTAATGATGGCACCTGATTGGACGTGTAATGCCAACAATTGCACCGAGCATATCATTGACGAATCATGCGCGGTCGTTAGGGCTGTTGCGGTTTGATGCTGGTCAATTGAGGTTTATGATCGCGGATTTATATGCTCGAGCGCTTATTGGTTCCGAATTTGTTTGCCCGCGCGCTCATTGGTCGCGCATTTGGGCGAAAATGGCCGCGCATATACTATTGGTTGGGCCACGTTCGTGCCCGCCAACCACCCGAAAATTTCGGGTGGGGAATAATAGGAATCACTGCCGCGGGATGAGACTCGTGCGAACGAGGAATTTCGGGGATACAATCCCTGGTAGGGTAATGTGCCGGAGAAAAAAAAACCCTCGAAAATGCCCTGGCGTGGCCACTCGAGCAATTATAACTGAGTTTGATGGCCACTCGAGCAATTATCACTGAGTTTGATGGCCACTCGAGCAATTATCACTGAGTTTGATGGCCACTCGAGCAATTATCACTGAGTTTGATGGCCACTCGAGCAATTATCACTGAGCAATTCGGGGACACGTGGGCAAGAGCGAATCACCAAACAAGGCACTGGAGCAATTCTCTCTGGTCATCGACACGACAAACCTCGAGTTGAGGTGGTGGGGGGGTGGTTTTGGTAGACCCCTCCCTCTTTTCCCTCCCCCTCGATCTGCACAACAAGCAAAACCCTAGGGGTTGTCACTCCACTTCAATACATCGGAATGCTTCTTAGTACGGTTCAATTTGTTTTAGGAAGTTTCGGCAGGGTTTTGTGCGAAGGCGAACGCTGGACATGCTGCTCATACGCTGGAAGGGGTTGGTTGGTACACACCTTCCTGCAGAAGGCAGCAACATCGCTGCGATCAACACCAGCAGCAGCAATATTTCCTCCACATGGAGACCTCCACATGGGCTTTCATTTTGATCGCGCCTAGCAGACCAACAGAGGTTCTCTCATAAGGGCGTGTAAAATCCCCGTGCAAGTGCGAAATCGGGGTTTGGCCGAATTTTCGTCGACCATGTGGTCGACAATTCTTTCGCGAAAGTCGACTTGGTGGTCGAATTCGAGTCGTTCAATTTTCAGCCACCATTTGCAGATTTGCGGAATTTTACAACCGGTTCGGAAAAGTTGTAAAATTTGGAGTTACTACAGTAGTTCGGTATGTACGACGGGGTCGCACATTTATCGACGATGTTTCTCATTTGACGATATAAAAAAACTGTCGTTCAGCGATACTGTGCGACGTCGTAGGCGATTGTCGCACACTGTGTCGACTACTTGGCCGTTTTGTATCGACTCGGCGTCGTTTTCTTGACTTTTTAAGCGGCCATCAAATTCGTTTTGTTTTGCGAAATTCGCGACTGTCGCCACTCAACTTACGACTGTCGCTGACTGGTTACCTTCGCAGAAATGGCCCGACGGATTGTGGCCGATTTTTTTTTAGTTCCCGATTTTACACGCCCGATTTTAATGAACATTGCTTCAAATTCCAGCCCGTTAGAATCGGCTTGCTTTGTGCTCCTCTGATTTTGTTAGAGCGGACCGCTGCCTGATATTACGTGACTTGCCGTTCTGGACAGTTCAACGCGAGAGTTATGATGTCAGCTAGGGCATCGCGATAATTGTTTGTGTTGACGTTGGGTTTCAACGTTGCATATTTGTAAGGTGGCCTTGACGCAGCAGAGCCTTGTTATCTAGGAAGGAGCAAGATCCCTCATAGACCTTAGAGGTACGGTATCACGTGCTTAACGTTTGACGATCCTTTCTAGGCCGCTGTTTTCTCTCAAATATAAGCTCTTGGATTTTCATTTGTTTTCTCTAGTATCGTCGTTTCTTTGTCTCTGTTCCCATCCCTCTTCGTGAGATGTCGTCGTTATGTGTTCAACCTTTTTCATTTAATGTTTTCGGAACGCGTCGTGCAGGATTACCGTTTTGACCGTCTTACCTGATTATTGTCACCTATTGTCTCGGGTGGTGCTTGTAATGGACGAAGTCTGGCCGGCGTCACGCTTCTTTAGCGACGGTTGTAGTTCCTTGTACGAGAGATCTGTCTTCGAGGGTCCAACTTTAAGGCATTTTCAGCAACAGCAGCAGCTGAAGCAGGAGCCGCAACAGCAGTCGCTGCAGCAGGTGTTGGAATTAATGCACTCTACGAACCAGCCGTATCAGCCACTAGCTCATCCGCAGCAGTTGCAACTGCAACAGCAGCTACTGCTGCTGCAGCAGCAGCAGCAGCAGCAGCAGCAGCAGAATCAGCTCCATTTCCAACAGCAGCACATCTTACCCTCTTGCCATCCGCATCTTCCAACCGAGGACAGCTTTTCCTCGCATTCCCTTTTTGATGAGGCTGGATTAAAAGATTCTCACATGCTCCCAGCATCATCGGAAATGTCCACGTTCCCATTGGCCCAGTCTCGGCAAATAATGCCTGGCTTAGAACCTTCCGGATTGAATTCCTCAGGCAGGTTCGATTCCTCTGGACGATTCTCCACCTCCGTAGGCTACGATCCTTCTGACAGGCTTGAATCGTCTGGCAGATTTGAGTTAACGTCAGCCCAGCTGGATTCCCCGGTCGAACATGGTATTGCTGGGTACGATTCTTTTGAGTGTTCAGGGGGGCCGCCCGAGAATCCGCTTCCGCCGCTACAGGGATCGCATGAGGCTGTTCTGCCTGACCGTGCACCAAAAATGATGGTCGACATTGAGGATTTTTGTTGGGTTAACGAGGATTACTGTGTCAGGTAAGTCGTTGTGGCTTTTACACGAATTGCTGTTGCGTATACATGCCTTTGTTTCTTAACATTTTCGTTTACGTTTCGCGGTCGATCTTCTCTCGTTTATGTCTATCCCTGCCATTGTCGTCTTTGACCCATCCCCTTTGCTCCTCCTTGCAGAGTATACATTCCTTTTCCAGGAGTCCACGCCTTCCCCCCCTCGTATATAACATCTTCGTTCACTAATAGCTCTTTCTGCTTGTTGATAAGGGGCCTTCCCGATGGTGTATGCTACCGACTTGCACTCGACAGGTATTTTTGTCTTGAAATGTTCCATCGCTTTGTGTTGTGTTGTGTGATTCCCAGGGGTCTTGTATTTGTTGGCAAATTCTGTATGGTGGATGAATGTTTCAGTCAACACCTACCTGCTTGTTCTTGTGTCCCCTACATCCCATTGGCTTGGCGTGCAGTCTTTATGGGGAGATCCAGCCGAACCTGTGCTGCCACAATGTGCACAAAGATAAGATAGAAATTACTCTATCAAAAGTCACATCAGGCCCCTCTGATGGACCTGACACTGACATCTTTACATGGTTTAGCCTACGATTATAAGACCACATAGGAATAAAGGCACTCCATTGTTTATGGTACGGGTACCGGTAGTGTAATGGATGTTGTGTACAAAATTGAACTAACTAGAGCATGCCTTTTCATTCCACAACTCTGTATTTTAGAGCATGGCTACAGGGATGGTGAAATTGTTACTCTCTGCACTGCAGTCTTGCACTGACACACCTGGTTGAAATTAGTTTTCCCCTGCTGACCAACCCTATACCTGCGGGATGCACTGCCCCAAAACATACCGTCCATTAGTTGGCTACATATGAACAAATCTATCAGATGTTCTACCTGCCAACCACTCTTCTATTTGGGACTCTACCGACATTCCCCGAATCCAAGGATTCATCCAAGCACTTGAAAATAATACTGTATGTGCCAGTCCAGCTGGCACAAACGCAACTACAGTATCCCCGCTTTCTATAATGCTCTCCAACTTGTCGTTAAGAACAGACGCCGCAACAAACAACGCGTCTCGCTCCCCAGCTGTACAGTAGTTCGTCTTCCACTGTATCTTGCTCCACTCCTTTCTCTGTATAATCCCTGTCACATCCTTTATCCGAATAACTTCACCTAAGCAAGCCCATGCATAGGTACTGTTCCACGGTAACAGCCCGCCAATCTGGGCGGCTGTAACGTCGAAAAACGCGTGGAAAATAAATATCGGGGTTGTAACGTCTTGCAGAGTGTACTGTGGGAAGAAGCACTTCCATTGGTCGGACTCTGGTAGAGCTGGGGGGGTAGGGGAGGGGGGAGGAGAGGGGGGGGGGGGGGGGGGGGGGGGGGGGGATGGGAAGAGAGGGGAGGAGGAGAGGATTGGGTGTTGCATAAAGAGGCAGAAGAGGTTGATTGCATAAGATTGGACAACGAGGGACCGCAGGAATCCAGAAAAACGGCGTGGAGAGAAGGGGGTGGTTGGCTTCTCCAACTTGTCCAACTTGTCCAACTTGTCCAACTAGGAACCCCAAAAGAGGAAACCCCAAAGAGGGAAGAGGTTGATTGCAGAGGCCCCAATCCCAATGCTGTTCACATCACAGCGCTGCCCCACGTGGGTACGGTACTTGCTGTGCCAGCCAGCATTGACACCACTGGGCAGAAAAGTTCGACAATTCTTCAACCCCTGACAACTTCCCCCCCTAACCCCTTCCCCCCCTCCTACCCTGCACCCATCCCCTTCTCCCCCGCGTCTAAGCCGGCCAGCTCGGCTTGTGCAGAGCAACATACTCCTACAGCATTGTGCCATGCGGTAACCATGTAACCGCTATCCACGCATCAGTAGCAGCAGCGCTTCTCATCTCACCATCTTGGCAAGCCGGCCAGCTGGGCTTGTGCAGAGCAACAATGCCCTTCACAGCGTTGCACCATGCGGTAACCATGTAACTGCTATCCACGCATCTATAGCAGCAATGCATCACATCTCACCATATTGGCAAGCCGGCCAGCTCAGCTTGTGCAGAGCAACAGAGCAACAGCGCTCTCATCTGACTGCGTCTCTCCCTCCCCTCCTCCAACCCGTTTTTAAGTCGACTCAAAATGAAGCTCGGCTAGTGCAGAGCAACAGTGCTCTGCTCTGCCTGCGTCCCCCCTACAACCCCTCCCCCTCCCCCGCCCCTCTCTCACCATCTTGGCACTTCGGCCAGCTCGGCTTGTGCAGAGCAACAATGCTCTTCACTCCGTTGCGCCACGAGTACCCGCCCACTCGGTCCTTCGAGTCTAAAAGGGTAGCGGGGGGGGAGGGGAGCAGGTGGGGAGGGGGAGAGAAGGGAAGTGGGAAAAGAGCAAGGGCTTTCTTTGCTCATGCAGAGCAACAATATTCTTCACTCCGTTGCGCCACGAGTACCCGCCCATTCGGTCCTTGGAATATGAAAAGGGTAGCGGGGGGGGAGGGGAGCAGGTGGGGAGGGGGAGAGAAGGGAAGTGGGAAAAGAGCAAGGGCTTTCTTTGCTCATGCAGAGCAACAATATTCTTCACTCCGTTGCGCCACGAGTACCCGCCCATTCGGTCCTTGGAATATGAAAAGGGTAGCGGGGGGGGAGGGGAGCAGGTGGGGAGGGGGAGAGAAGGGAAGTGGGAAAAGAGCAAGGGCTTTCTTTGCTCATGCAGAGCAACAATATTCTTCACTCCGTTGCGCCACGAGTACCCGCCCATTCGGTCCTTGGAATATGAAAAGGGTAGCGGGGGGGGAGGGGAGCAGGTGGGGAGGGAAGGAGGAAGAGAATCATTCACTCCGTTGCGCCACGAGTACCCGCCCACTCTATCCTTGGGAGTCTGCAAGGGTAGTGAGGGAGGGAGGGGAGGGGAGGGGGAGAGATGGGAAGTGGGAAAACAGCAAGAGTTTTATTTTGAGGCGCCTCAAAATACACCTCACTGCAAGTGGGAAAAGAGCAAGAGTTTTCGTGGCTCGTGCAGAGCAGCAGGGAAGTGCATGGGGGGCGAGCAGGTGGGAAGGGAAAAAGGGGTAAGGAGGGGGGGGGGGAGAGGAGGGAGAAGAGAATCAATGCACACCGTTGCACCATATGAACCCGCCCACTCGGTCTTTCGAGTCTCAAACGAGTATGTTGAACGGATGTTCATTGTAGCAGTAGATTTGCAAACACAGTACAAAAGAATGTATTATCATATTAGCAATAATAATAATATTAGTAATACTAATAGTAATAATAATAGTAATAATAATAGTAAAAATAATAGTAATAACAATAATAATAGTAATCATATAAGAACCTGGCAGCGAAAACAGCAGGCTCACCAATAAAGAAGCCCGAGTCAGAGATGCCTTTGGTTGCCGCCCAGGAAAGAGCCCTAGCCTGAATCTGATTTCACAGGCTCACCAATGAAGAAGCCCGAGTCGGCGATGCATTTGGTTGGCGCCCAGGGGAAGGCGGCAGCGATGCGATCGCAGAGAGCCACGACTGCTTGGCCGCCCGCTGAGCTGCCCGACAGGAGGATCTGCGCTGCCGATTTTATTCCCCGCTTGGATTGCAGATCTAATTGCGTTTTGGGCGGTGGGTCAAGGGGAAAAGGTGGAAAGAGGAGAAAAACGGAGTGAGACAAAAAAAGGGGATGTGGGAGGGAGGGGGAAGGAGGTAACGTACTTCCTTTTCCCACTCTCAGCCTGCCCCACGCACTCCTGTCACTCTCACAATTCATAACCACTCTCTCATAACCACTCTCTCATAACCACCGCATCATGCGATGAGACAAACGAGGTTCCTTCCCACTCGCTCACTCACCCTCTATTACCGCCTGAATGATATTCCATCCATCCAGGTAAAGTACCGTGCCATTGCTCCCAACCTCCAGCCTCCCTGCTGTTCCCGAGTAGCCAGCACCATCGCAGTAGATGAGACGAACGAGGTTCCAGTTGTAAAAGGGCGGGTTGATGGTGCTGTTGCTGCTGAGCATGCCGTAGAAAGGGGGGCGGATGGCCTGAACGGGGGATGGGGGAGGGGAGGAGGGAGGGGAGGAGGGAGGGGAGGGGGGGAGGGAAGGGGGGAGGAGAAAGGGGGTGAGAAGAAAAGGCTGAAACGAGGTATGAGAGAGAGAGAGAGAGAGCGCTGCACCAAATAAGTTTTGGAGTCGACTAAAAAACAGACTCATCACACGCGGCGGGGAGGGGGGGAGAAGGAGAAAAGGCTGACACGAGGTATGAGAGAGAGAGAGAGCTGCACCAACTTACACATCGGGCACCCTCCTCTCAGAGAGAGAGAGAGAGGCTCAAATACCGGGGGACAAAACACAGACACGCACACGCATGCGCGCGTTACATGTATGCTTATCACAATATTATCGAGGAAAGAGCAGCATACCGCGTTGGGTGCAGGGTCGGCAGGAAGGAAGGGCTTTAAGGGGGAGGGCAGCAGCATACTGCGTTGGGTGCAGGGTCGGCAGGATAGACCGTGCTGCTCCCAAGTGGCACCTTGGGAGAGGGGCTTTAAGGGCTTTAGGAAGCAAAAGCGTACCACGTGGGGTCCAGGGTAGGTAGGATGGAACGTGCTGGTTCAAGTGGCGCCTTGGGAGAGGTGAGGGGGGCTTTAAGGGTAGACCAAAAAAGGGGGGGATGAGAGAGCGGCGGAGGGGGGAATTGGGGGGGCTTTTAAGGGGGAGGGAGAGGCATACCGCGTTGGGTTCAGGGTCGGTAGGATACAGCGTGCTGGTCCCATAAAGCGTCTTGCTCCTCGCCACGCACTGGGCGGCAGAGCCACACCACGCGCCGCCCGGCAGGTAGATGTGCCACATGTTCTTGCCGCCCCCCGTGCCCGCCCGGAAATAGTACCCTGGGGGGCTGGAAGCAGGGAACGGGGGGTGTGGATGAGGGGGGACGGAGAAAAGGGGGAGTGGGGAAAGGGGGGTTAGAACACAGCAACCTCCTTTCTCGGACACATCACCCCCTTCTCTCCCCAACCCCCTCTCTCCCCAACCACCTCTCTCCCCACCGCTCTCTCGCCACACCCCCATTAATCCTACTCGCTTGCACAACGAACCGCGCCTGCTCCAGCGACTTTTGAGGCGCCTCAAAAGACGAACCGCGCCTGCTCCAGCGACTTTTGAGGCGCCTCAAAAGACGAACCGCGCCTACTCCAGCGACTTTTGAGGCGCCTTAAAAGACGAACCGCGCCTGCTCCAGCGACTTTTGAGGCGCCTCAAAAGACAAATCGCACCTGATCCAGCGACTTTTGAGGCGCCTCAAAAGACGAATCGCGCCTGCTCCAGCGGTCCGCCAACAACTCCTGCTTTACCACGCCGGCACGTGTCCTGCCCATTTTTCCCAGCATTTTCGCGCCGTTCGAACAATCACCAGCAATACGTTACGCTGCTCTTTGATTCATCTGCTCCCCCCTTTCTCTCCTCCTCCCTCCCCCTTCTTTTCCCCCCACCTTACCTCCCGTCGAGGCATTTCGCGTCGAAGGAGTTATTCGCCAGCAGAACGAGCCGCGGCGTGGCCGGCGGCCCCGGCGGCGGCGGAGGCGGATTTCCCGCGAGTAGCGACAGCAGGTACTGCAGGAACGCCCAGACGCCGCTAAAATCGATTTTCCATGCGGCTTTATTTCTAGAAGAGCTTATTCTTCCGTTGGACGGTTTATATGGCGACTTGGAGAGGAGCAGGTTGAGACTCCGGTTGTTCCCGGCAAAGGCATCTCTGTTAGTAAGAGCAGTACTGTTATTCGTTGTAGTGCGTGCTCCAAAATTGTTGATTGTATTCATGTTCTTGGGTCAACAAGGCGCATGCTGCCTATGATCGCTGTAGGCGCGACGCGAAGTGGATACCGTCTGAGTATCATCAGTACGGGTTTCAGATTCTACGTCGCTAATACGAAGGAAGCCTACTCTTTTCTTGCATAGCTTCTGGAAGCATTGTCACAAGACTAGCAAGATTAGCATTGCACCAAAGACTAGTGCACCCGAGTCGTCTCCCGGCTCGAACGTGACAATTCGGCACGTTGCGCTTGTTCTGGTCTGGATAGGACGTCTTCGGGGCTCCTCGGAACTACCTAACTGAAGGGTCGGAGGAACAGGTCGAAAGGTACTGGGGGGGGGGGAATATGGAACACCGTAAATAGTCTCAGAGTGATGACCCTCGGAACGCTTCACAGGAGGTCAATCCGGGAAAACGAGTACGCCCTCAGAATCCTAGGGTCCCAGACCTTTCTAGCTTTGGGGTTTTGGAGATCCCACCGACACCCCGCCCTTCAGTGTCTCTGGCTACCACTATCGGGTTACATAGATTTTGGCAAAACGAGGTTCGGGTACGCGAACTCTGGACGCGAGGCGACGTAGCCTCGGAATTCGTGGAAAACTGGCTGGACCTTTCTTTCAGAACCAAGAGAGATTGTACGCGATTCTGTACAGAGACAGGACCTAAGTGTGCTTCCTTTCAAGGTAATCAGTACGCTACAGATAGAAGGTAAAGGGCCGTGCCCGCCACCTACTCGCCATACACCATGCACCATGCCGTACGACTACACATCCTTCTCTCCACCACGCCGATCATCTTTCACCTCACATGAACTGGACGGGAAGAAAAGCCACAAATTCACGCTGTATGGTGCAATGCAATACAAACCTGCCAGCAACTACCAGGAAGTTTACCAATCGAGCGCGATGGGGGATAAATCTTGGCATTGGCTACGAGTACAAAGGCTGGATCATCCTTGACCTGGAAAGCAAGAAGATTGTACATGCGCGATACATTTTGTTATATGAAAGGATTTTCCTTGCTAGGGTTCTACGCCAGGGTCCACGATATCAGGGTAAAACATCCTGATTACCCTGATTTCAGGATGGTGTTTTAAGGTTGCCCTGGAATTTCAGAATGAAGCTGAAATTTATCCTGTAACTTCAGGATGATTCATGTGTTTTGCCCTGAAATTTCAGAATGGCAGTGAAATTTTGCCCCGAAGCGTTAGGGTGAATGTAGAGGGATGCCTTGACCCGTAGTAAGGGGAAGAAGGTGTGGAGGGGGGAGAGAGGGGGAGAGGGGAAGAAGGAGGCTGGGGGGTGTGTGTGCTAGTTTGTCCCCACCCCTCCCCCTCCAAAGTTTTAGCTCAGCCAGTTGTAGTGAAACCACTGAACAACCTGCTCCTCTCGTGCCTTCCCCTCCACTCCAGTGTCTTGCATTTTTTGCCCTGAAACATCCAGATGAATTTCTGCTGGTGCCCTGAAATTTCAGGATGGCCAGGGAATTTTGCCCTGAAAAATCAGGGCATTTTGGAAAGTTTTCAAAAGTTGCCCTGAGGGCTCAGGGTGCCCTAAATCCTAGCACAAGCCCTGTTCTGCGCGGATCAACAGGCAGGAGCATATCTTGTATACGCACATGACGAACGCAGCTTGGCTACCCCCAAAGACCAAGCCGCAGCAACCATCCTTGACCAAGACGCACCTGACGAGCATCTCAAAGTGAACCCCAGCTCTTGCGACGATGATGACGGCAAAGCGCCACCTACACCCTCACATAAACGAGACCCCGCATGACGCCTTTCACCCACATCTAAAAGCGACGACGATGATGTTCAGGAGGTCACCCTAAAAGGCGTCACAACACTACAGGAATGACTTCGACCAAACCTTCGCCCCAGTAAGCCGCCACACTTCCGTGTCATTCCTGCTCTCCATTGCCGCCGCCAAATATCTACTGTCAGGAAAATGAACGAAAATGAATGAACTAGCAAAGAGTTGGGTACAAGAACTAACCCTAATTGGGTTGTACCCCTTATGAGCTACCCCACTACAGCCTACACAAAGTAAGCTACATATTAAGTTTGACACACCCCCATAGGCAAAGTGGGGGAGAACAAGTGGTCACAAGACCAGTCAAGAAAAGCAAAGCAAGCTCAGGGTGGATCACAAAGTCACCACACAGTCCGAGCACAATCAAAGGGCCACAAGGCCAGGTATATATATAGATCACAGTACAAGCAAAGTGACGCAGTAAGCAAGTGAGGCAAAGTAGGCACAAGGCCTAACACAGTAGAGAAGCGCTGATGATCACCAGGCGGAAGTGCCTTGGTGAATATATCAGCACTGTTGGCCCTAGTGGCCACGTACGCAAGACGAAGCTGGCCACGCTGCTGCAACTCTCGAGCAAGGAAGTATCGTAGAGCGATGTGATTCGTTCGGTGCTCCAGTCTGTGCTCCTGACACAAGGCAATCATGGCCTTGTTGTCTACGTATAGAACTGGAGGCGAACGAGGCTGCTCTCCCAAGTCAGTCAGCAGGTAGGTGAGCCAGCGTACCTCCTATACAGCCATGGCCCCTGCGTAGATCTCAGCCTCACAACTGGAGCTGAGAACCGAAGACGAGCGGGTAGACCGCCAAGAAACAGGGGGTGTAGACCGCCGGAACCAAGGCTGAAGGTGTAACCCTGTGACGACCGCTGCGTAGCTGAATCGTCAACCCAAGAAGCGTCTGTGTGACCAGTGAGGACAACTGGACCCCGTCCTCTAAGCACGAGTCCCATGCCCGATGTACTGCACAAGAAACGCAGTACCCACTTCGCAGCATCCCAGTGCATATTTCGGTGCCAACCGGGAGCCACGTAGCGAGCTAGAAGGCTGAGAGGGTACGCGAGGTCGGGTCGAGTGCACGTCATCAGGTAGATGAGGCAACCCACAAGCTCTGGGTACGGACCACTCGGCTCTATGGACTCGTCCAAAGGTGGAGCTGAGAGCGAGTGGCTGGTAGAGAGAGGAGTGGGCTGTGGCGAGGAGAACTGGAAGGCGAAGTGCTGAAGGACCTGGTGCACCATGTGTGACTGAGTCAGGGTGATGGTGCGCCGTGCCCTGTCCCGGGTGATCTGCAAGCCAAGATAGCTGCGCACTTCACCCAGGTCAGCGCAAGTGTGTCTCTTCTGCAGCTCCGACTTCACAAGGGTCAGAGCCTCGGTGAAAGCAGTGGGAAAGACGAGGTCGTCGACGTACACGAGGATGTAGAACGGCGGCAGCGAGGTGTCGGTGCGTAGAAACAGCGATGGGTCAGCAGTAGCAGGAGCAAACCCAAGAGCCGCAAGTGTAGTCCTCAATGTGTCGTGCCACTCGCGAGGCGCCTGGCAGAGACCATAGACTGGCCGCCGAAGACTCCACTGAGTACCTGCAGGAAAAGACTCAGTGAAACCAGGTGGGCGGCGCAGCCAGATCGCCTCATGCAGGCTGCCCTGTAGGAAAGCTGTGCTGAAGTCGAGAGAGTGCAACTCGTAGTCACGCTGGGTAGCGACGTGCAGTAACACCCAAAGAGTAGTCATCTTCAGGGTGGGGGAGAAGGTCTGGAAGTAGTCAACTCCCTGTCGCTGACTGAAGCCTCGAGCAACGTAACGTGCCTTGAAGGCAGGCGAAGAACCCGACGGCCGCTTCACCCTGAAGATCCACATGCCATCGACTATGTTCGCCCCAGGTGGGGGAACCTCGTCGACGTAGGTGCCTGTGGACTTCCAGGATGCCATCTTGGCATCCATGGCTGCCTGGCACTGAGAGGAGTAAGGACCCGTAATCGCCTCTGCGTAAGAGAGCGGGATCGGGATTTTTGGTGCATCCGGGTCTCTCTCAGGGGCAAGCAGCATGGAAGCGAAACGAGGTACAGCAGCAGTAAGACACTCAAAGTCCTCCTGCCTGTCCTCAAGGACGTCCGTGCCAAGAGCACACTCACCCCCGACGGACGGAGGACTGGCATACGCAGACTCAGCAACAAGAGCAGTGGCGTAGTCTAGACGGCAGGCAGCAGCAAAGTCAAGCAGCTCAGCAACGAGGGCAGACGCAGCAGCAGATTCAAAAAAAAGGGTCACTGACACCAGTGGCGAGGAGACGAGGGACACTGGGACTCGTAGCACGAGCGCGGTCAGACGCAGGGTTAGGGACCGCAGGAAGAGAGGACCCAGGAGGAGCAGGCAGAGGAACACGCAGTGGAACAGAGGAAGGACGAAGTGCCATAGCGTGCGTGCCGGGGACATGAGGAGGACGCGAACGAGG